CGAGAATAAGTGTCTTGAACAGTCAGACAATATCGCGAGTGTAAAAGATTTCGAGAGGCCTGAAAATCCTGAAAGGATAAATCAGAATCCTCTATTTCTCGAATTGTTGGATAATATAGATTCCGATTGCGAATTCGAAGGTAGGGACGAAGAAGTCGAAAATATAATCTTGCAAAATGCCGAAAGTAGCGTTCAAAATGAAGTTTCGATTTTGACTTTGAGTGAGAATAACGGCGATGTCACTTGTGATCAGAAAAATAGTCACAAAGTTTCGTATAAATTGTGGAAACCAACTCTTCTGCCATCTCACCTTTATTGTCGACTTTCCCAGCGAAGAATTTATCGTTCTGGTGATCCACTGACAGAACCTAAAACAACGGCTAGAATTCCGGTGGAAATTATAATTTTTGGCGAAAAAATTCGGGGAATTATCGACAGCGGTAGCGAAAGATCGTTTTTAAGCAATTCTGCTTATCAGAGAGTTAAACATTTTCAAGTCGACGATTTAAAGAACGACTCTTCTTCAAGCAAGGGTGTACGATTAGGCGATAAATCGGTTGTAAAATCTAAAGGTGGTACAGGATTTGTTATTGATATAGGCGACGTTTATGGTCCACAATGGTTTAGCGTGTTGGACGAATTATCCAGTGACCTGATTTTGGGCATGGATTTTTGGCTCAATTTTAAAGTCAAAGTGGATCCAATAACACGAACTTGGACTTTAGACGGGAGCAAACATCATTATCCATTAATAGAACGCTGTAATGAGATGAATGCGTTACGTGCTCTTACAATCGATGAATCGGGAAAATTAAAGGATTTTTTAGATCAGGAATTTGCGAAATTCGAGTTAGAGTCGACGGGTTTAACAGATTTAGTAGAACATGTTATTGAATTGGACGATGAGACACCTCATCGTCAAAAACCTTATCGAAGGAGCGAAATAGTACGCAAATTCCTTGAAGAGGAAGTAGATCGGTTATTGAAAATGCGTTTTATAAGACGAAGTAATAGCGATTGGGCGTTTTCCCCTGTGGTTGCCCCAAAGGCAAATGGAGGCTTGAGATTTTGTGTAAATTATCAACCACTTAACAAAAAAACGAAAAAACCAGCCTATCCCTTACATAATATGCGATCTATTCTGTCTCAATTACAGTGCGCAAAATTTATTTCAACTCTCGATTTTAGCGAAGCCTTTCATCAAATTCCGATGGAAGAGAATAGCTGTAAGTTGACAGCTTTTGCGGTCGAGGGGAAGGGATTATTCGAGTATGTGAGAATGCCTTATGGTCTTACGGGAGCCCCTGCGACGTTTCAACGTTTAATGGATACATTGAAGCGTCGCATGCAAGAATTAATTCTTGAAAGAGGTTTACCAGGAGGTTGGATAGACCAGATTTTCACATATCTCGATGACTGGATTATTGTAAGTCAAACTTTTGATGAACACTTACAATTATTGTCTTTGGCTTTCGAGGTTTTCCGTGAAGCGAAGTTATTAATAAATCGCGCGAAAAGTAACTTTGCTTGTAAGGAAGTAAAATTCCTGGGATATATAGTCGATGAATTGGGAATGAGGCCAAATCCGGAAAAGATTCAGCCAATTGTCGACTTTCCCGTTCCGAAAGACCGAACACAATTGCGTCAGTTTAATGGCCTAGTGAACTGGTATCATAGACACTTAAAAAATATAGCAAGAATTCAGGGACCCTTGAATAAGTTGACGAGCGTTAAAGTTCCTTGGAAATGGACTGAAGTCGAGCAAAAGTCTTTCGAGAGTGTAAAGAAAGCTCTGGTCGAAGCTCCTCGCTTGCATGTGCCGATACCAGGTCAGCCTTTTGTTTTGTACACTGATGCAAGTGATTTTGGCTTAGGCGCCATTTTGGTACAAATTGATCCTAAAACTGGTAATGAAATTCTTATCGAAGTTTTAAGTCGACCATTGAGGGGTGCAGAATTGCACTACACGACTACCGAGAAAGAGTGTTTGGCGGTCGTGTGGTCGGTTGAAAAGCTTAGATGCTATTTGGAAGGTATGCCTTTCAAGGTGGTAACAGACCACCAAGCTCTTCAGTGGTTACATGGATTGAAAAATCCTGTTGGTCGTCTTGCCAGATGGGCAATTTATTTGTATCAACACAATATGACAGTAGAGCATCGTCGAGGTACCTTGAATGAGGCACCCGATGCACTTTCTCGTATGTTCAATGTCGATGTCGACCCCCTCGGGTGGGAGAAGGTGATCGAAGAAGCGGTCCAAGGTCGAATTCGATTGAACACGATTTGCGATCGGGATTGGTACGTAACAAAATTTGATTTAGTTAAAAAACATCCCGAAAGGTTCGTTAATTGGAAAATAGAAAGCGACGAATTATTTTACTATAGACCGGATTTCGAAAAAGCGCTCATTGACGATGAGAATCCGTGGAAAAAGGTAGTTAAACCGGACGACGTTGCAGGAGTTTTGCATGATAATCACGATTTACCGCAAGCCGGACATCTCGGAAGAGATAAAACGCTTGATAGGATTCGACAGAATTTTTATTGGCCAGGTATGATCTTGGACGTCAGAAATTATGTCGACGAATGCGAAGTGTGTGTTAAGGTCAAATATAATCAAAATCCGGTAAAGGGAAAATTAATGACGCGTACGCTACATTCACCTTGGTCTCAGCTGTCTGTTGACACGGTTGTTACTCAAACACGGACGAAGAAGGGAAATACATGTGTCCTAGTAGTGTTGGATTTATATACAAAATATTTAGAGTTATTTCCAATACGGGCAAAAAAGGGTAAGGCAATTGTAAAGATTCTTGACGCGTTATTTGATCGATGGGGAACTCCGAAAATGGTCCTTACAGACAACGGAAAGGAGTTCGTCAACGGGGAAGTAGCATCATACCTGATAGCAAGGGGAGTCAAACAAATAACAACGCCGATAAAACACCCCCAAGCTAATCCGGTCGAACGGTTTAATCGGACTGTTAAACCAATGATTGCCGCGTTCCTTAAGCATGTTCATAAAGAGTGGGACGAGAATATAACGAAACTACAATTGGCCTATAATACTGTGCCACATTCGGGAACAAGAATTTCCCCCTTTTTCTTAAATCATGGGCGGGAAGCTGTTGTCAGGAGGGAGTTAGATGATTCCGAGATTGATTTGGGTGAGTCCCTGAGTGACTCTATTTCATTTTGGGTAGGTCGTATGAAAACCATTGACGAATTTCGACACAAAATTGAAAGTCGACTGAAAAAATATTCTGATGGGCGTCTTGCCACTGCAAATGCAGGTAGGTCAACTTTAGTCGAAATTAAAGAAGGAATGGAGGTTTACTACCCAAATAAGAAGCTAAGTAATAAAGCCGAGAGTTACTCAGCGAAATTAGCCTATAAATATTTGGGACCGGTTAAAATCAGTAGAATTCTTGGTTCGTCGACGGTGGAATTGAAAGATGGATCTGGAAAAATGATAGGAAAATATTGTATTTCTGATTTAAAGATTCCCCGGAGAAGTTGTCGAAATTTAAATGTTTTTTCAGATTGAACTGTCGACATCATGAGTAGCGAGCAGAGTTCGTCCGACAGCCTACCAGCGACCGACAGGGAAGCTGCTCGACTCCAGATGGAGAAATTAAGAACGGCACAAGAGCGAATTACTAATATGATGGTGGCTCTTCAATCGCAATTCGGCGATGATATTGATAACGATGAAACAACGTCGACGAATGCTGTGGAGGTTCCTGAGCCCTCTACTAATGTCTCTGATGATCCGGATGCTGTGGCTTTGGAGTCGACTGAAAATATGGGTGAACCACTTTTTAGTCATATTGAACAATCTTCGGCGGCTGCAGACAGTCAAAATAATCGATCAGTGTCGACGATAACCTCCGTGAAAATAGGTTCTGAGAAAGCTTTGGAAACCATTCGGAGAATCAGCGAGATGGAACCACCTACGCTTGAGAAGAATCCAGTGCGAATATTAACCGAGGCCGACATTCGTCGAGAAAATCTTAAACGGCAGCGTATAAAAAATTACGATCACGCAAAGGAGATTGACCTGTCGACTAATGAGCTCTTGACGATGGCCGTGTACGAGACAACAGAAGTGGCTCCATCGGTTCGTGTGGATCCTTTGCCGTTAACCGAGATTCCGAACTTCACTCAAGTGCTGGAAGAAATGGGAATACCGGATTTGGTAAATCCACCTGGGGAACAACAACCCCTATACATGGTCGACTGCAGAATAATCAGCCTTCAATTACTTAAAAAGCTGATTATAAAGCGAGCAGAACACATCGCGATGGTGGCAGACGCCAAGAAAGTCGACGTTGGAACCCAGACTTATGTTACAACTGCGGGTAAACAACTCTGGCCCTACGGTTGCATTAACTGCAAATCAAGGGAACATCATTTCCGCGAGTGTAACCTTCCATACAGACCGGGATTCTGTACTGAATGCGGTGCTGAGGGATTCGACACCAAGGATTGCATTTACCCCCATGGCATCGAACATGAACGTGTGCTTGGACGGTGTATTGGTTGTTCAGGGGATGAATTTTTGTACTCTCCAGAATGCCCCGATTGCAATATCCGCCATGCAGGGATTGTCGACTGGTTGCGCCTTAATTACGCAACCTGGCCTTCTTGGATGGTACCACGCGATCATCAATTCCTTATTGGAGGTGAAGCCGAAAGGTTGAAAAGGAAGGTTAAGGCGAAGTTTGATAATCCTCGAGATGAGCCAAACAAGGTTCGCAAATTCCTTTTAAGAGAAAACGTCTTCCGTCAGGTAAAGGAGTTCAAAAATTTGGAGTCGAAAACAGCCTACCAAATGTCGGAGGAAAAGCGCCAACGCGCAATCGAGGCTTTGTTGGCCTCAATATCGACCGATTCCATCGAGGAGGTGATGAGGAAGCGACCAGAACTCTCTGACGGACAGGAGTTGAAAATCATCGTTCCGACGAAGTTCAAGAATTCTTCGGAATAATAATGTCGACGTTTTCTTAATCCAAAGATTTTTTTTATATATAATTTTGATATTTTGTTACTTTATATTCTTTTGATTATTTTTATAAGATTTGAAAATTTGTAATCTGAGACGACAATACGATGAAAATCTGTATATGTTAAATGAAAAGTCGAATAAATGGAAATTGAGATTGAATTTTCGCAGCACATTGAGTGTCTATGAGGGATGTATCACAGGTGGTCTACTTTGGATGTTATTTTGTGTTTTGTTTATTTAACTATTTTTTTCAGAGGTTCTAGTGTATTTTGAAATTTAAAGTTCTTTTACAGATAAAATTTTTTTTCACATATCGACACGTCTGAAAGGGGAGAGTGTAACAGGAAGTATTTTCGTGTCTCCTTATTCATAAAATTTTACAAGTGTCGACAAACTTTATTATCATTTATAAATAATTTATTGAACCCCTAATTAATTATCGATGTACGATCCTGGCGTTGTCATGGTAACGACGCATGCGACACCGGCGTGAAGGCGACAAGATACATCATGATCACTTTTGGATCGAACGTCGATGCGAGTACATATTTCAATTTTCTAACTTATTGTCGATTATTCTGAGAGAATATTATAAAGTGAGTGAGATTCGTATCAATTGGCCAATCCGGTTGTTTGGAGAGTGAATCTCTACAAAATATGTAAGTAGGCCTTTTGTGAAATATATATCTTTCAATCGACACTCTGATATTGAATTTTGGGTTCACCCATTTTACCCCCCCCTTTTTTGTTCTTTTTGTATAATAATTAAATGTCTCATGTTAATCGTAATTAATTAATTGTCGACATTTAGTCGACTGGCGCCGGGCAACCCTGATAACATTTTAAACTATCTTAAAACTTTATTAAACTTGAACCCACACAGCTTTGAACCCAGCCGCGTGTGGTGAAGGAATATTTAAAATTCTTAGTAGTAAAGTAAAAATAATTCCTGTTTCATTTGGCGCCCAACGTGGGGCCGTTGGGATTAATTGTTTATGTAAAATTATTTCTTTTGCTGTGAAAATTCAAGTTTTAATTATGAGTGAAATTTTGTGTCTTTTATTTTATATAGTATTTAGAAGCAAGGTAAAAGTCTCTAAATTCAAGTCGTCTTATTTTCGTGTTGTGTTATCTTGTTTATATGCCAATGAGTATGACGAGTTACATTGACCTTGTGTTTATAAACCCAGATCCATTATTAAGAATGTGTGTTTGACGGACAACGAATTTTAATTAGTGACGATTTAATAAATGATAAAATAAATAACCAAAAAAAAAAAATTATTAACTTGAATCTGGTAAATTAAATATAAAGAAATTATTAAATTTTTAGAGTGTGAAATAAATCACGATCCAAAAGTCAAATTTTATCGTCGATTAGAATTTTATTTTGTATTTTTTTAGTAATGAATATTTGGTTGTAAATTGCTTGTATGTTGCTACAGTGAACGACTTTATTTTTTATTATTTTGTAAAGTTCTTCCGTCGACGAAAAAGGAATTTTGGTGAAAATTTTGAGGTGAAAATTTTCGAGTGAACAAATATTAGTCACTCATTGTGCCGGCAACCACGTGTTGAGACGTTATTCCTTCACTGTGTGTGTCGACTTTATATTGTGGGCACTATACCTATATCGGATGGTTGAAAAGGTTGAAGCCACCCGGTGTAAAGATAAATTCGTGAGTGTTTTGTCGAAGGTAGTGTCAGTGCTTAATAATTAGATTTTTCCGTGCAATTAAGATGTTGCTCTGATTGTACGGATAGATTGTAAATTTAATTTGGTACATTTTGCTGTTTGAGGGTTAAGATGTTGCTCTAGCCACCACACAGATAAAATAAAATATCTTATGGTCGTTTTTCGTGTTATTAAAATTTTGACACGTTTGAGAAATTTTAAGTATAGCATATAATTGTCGGGTGGCTTGAATTAGTATTACCTTCCGATTGTTAAAAAATTTTATAAGTTATTGTAAGTTTTGTTTTATTATCATTGTGTATTTATATTATTTACATTACGTATTAACATTGAATAACTATTTATATATGTGATTTGAAATTTTGAAAATTTATTTTATTGTGTTTGTCAAATTGCAAACTGTTGATTTTTTTTTTTATTGAAAATTTTTAGGTATATTTCGCTGAGTGATAATCTCGATGAGAAGGGGGAACTGATTAGTTTTCTTTTAATTTTGTCGACATAATAAAAATTTTTTTTCTCTGGTGGGGACTTCCATCGTAATTGATACTATATAAAAAAAAAAAAGAAAAAAAAGAGAAATTTTTTTTGTTTTGATTTGAATACTTAAGGTTTTTTTTTAAGAGTCGACAGAATAAAACTGTGTTTCTTGTCGGGTAAACAATCTACAGAATTTTCGGGTGAGTTAAAGGAGGTTTTCTTTGCTTTCTTTAACTTTCTTCCCTTTTGAAAGCTTTTCTAAATAATCAATTAAATAATTAACTGACTTTAATTTTTTTTTACTGCTGAAATTTGGATTGGCTGGACGCCTGCTGTAATAAAAATTAAAAAGAAAAATAAATAAAATAAGATAGAATTTTCATAAATAAAATTTTTTTTTGAGGTTCGTCAATGTTTCATACACCACCTAAGGACTCGGCCTCCGGTGGCCCTCCTCAGGATGAGGCAAATAATAGTGACCTTTTAGAATTTCATGGTTTTCCAAATAATCAAGATGACCAAACTTTTGCATTAAATAATCATCCACCGGGAGTTGAAAGATTATCCTTAGAAAGCTCATCATCAGGGCTCGGAAGAGGAAGGGGACGTGGTAGAAGGTCCTTTACCCCTGAACCTCGCCCCGGGTTTGAAAATAGTCTCTCTTTAAAAGTGGGAAATTTAAATAATAAAGTTGGGGAGTTAACCACCCAAATGAACGGTGTTCTCGAGCGATTGCATATTTTATGTAACAATCGGTCCGAAAGGGGAGAGGTACACCCCTTACCCCAGACGGCTGCCGCAAATAATGAGCAAGTTTCTCAAAATCCATCGGGAACAATTGCATCAGTTAATAACGAGCAGCCCGATCTTGATTTTTTAGATAGAAACATTTTAACGAACGGGCGTCAATCCAATTTGAATCGCGAGACTTTGGTCGATTCTCATGTGTCTCGTGATCGCGATGACGGATCAATGTCGAATCCACTAGCGCTGTCGGGTGATCAGGAAACGAGACGAGTTCATTTCAGAAATCAAGTGATTTCTAACCAATCGTCGACTACTGATACCCCGAGATATATTCATATTGTTGTCGGTAAACCCTTGCCAGATGGCCGGATCATCGACGAGGACGTTTATTTAACCGAAACTGAATATAGAGTTATGACTACAGGTTCTCGCGCATTTAATACGAATAGAAGCGGTAATGATCAATATTATAATCGAACTTCCGGTTTAGACTTGAGCGAAACGTCGAGTCGACGAGTGGGTTCGTTGTTTTCAGGACGGAATAACGAATCAAGCGAAGATGAAATGATCAATGGTGTCGATAATAGTCGTAATAGGAGAAATGGCCGAACGAATAACGGAATAGATAATAATGGGGGCGATCCAATAAGAATTGGAAAAATTGTCGATTCATGGAAAATCTTTTTTCCTAAAACGGAAAAAGACCCAGATCAATTTTTATTAGTTCTTAAAGATCACCTCAAAACCAGTGGGATACATAGGGACTATTTTGTTCCCTATTTGTCGAAACTGTTCGAGGGACCTTATAAAGCATGGTATCTAGTTAATAAGAAATCTTGGAGAACATGGAAGGAGTTCGCAGGAGCCTTTCGTTATGAATGGGGGGTAAAAAAATGCGATGCCGACTTACTCCTAGAAATTCGAGATCTTAAATTAGATAAAAATGAAAGCTTAGCGGAATTTGCCTGCAGAGCTAGACTTATTTTCGAACAAATGGAATATCCGCCGGAATTCCGAGAACAGTTGAAACAAATATTGACAAAGTTCAATCCGCGATTAACTTTCGAAATATTGAATTTGTCCTTACGTGATTACACTGAGTTTCTCCATTATGTTAACGAGCGAAGCTATTTATATCAACGATCGGTCGACATTCATCCAAGTCGTCAGAAAGTTAATAAACCTCGTTTGAATTATGTTCAGGAAATTGAGGAGTACGGATCAGACTCTGATGTTGACCTTGCCTCTGAGTCGGAAGAGTCAGATAATGATTCGACCGTAGAGTTGAAGGCAATGGGTAGAACTGATTCGAAAGGTGCCTCTTCCGTGAACAAGTCGACGAAAACAAGATCATTAAACCGTAGTCGATTAGAAAATAATTTGCAAAAATTCAATGAGTCCAGAAATAAAAACTCGTACCAAAAAGATAAATCGGGAAAAGATTTAAATGAAAAATCAACAAAAACCGAAAATACGTATAAAGCATTTGATCGAGAAAAACTTTTTTGTTTTAATTGTGGCGAAAAAGGTCATACTGCGGCATATTGTAAAAGTACTCCTCAAGTCGTATGCTGCCTTTGCAAAAAAATCGGACATTATAATAAAGACTGTCCTGACCTTACGGGAAACGAATAGTGCCCTCAGTAGTTATTCCTCAAGCTATTGAAGAAAAGGGCACGATTGAGGAAAAATCGCTTTCCGAGAATAAGTGTCTTGAACAGTCAGACAATATCGCGAGTGTAAAAGATTTCGAGAGGCCTGAAAATCCTGAAAGGATAAATCAGAATCCTCTATTTCTCGAATTGTTGGATAATATAGATTCCGATTGCGAATTCGAAGGTAGGGACGAAGAAGTCGAAAATATAATCTTGCAAAATGCCGAAAGTAGCGTTCAAAATGAAGTTTCGATTTTGACTTTGAGTGAGAATAACGGCGATGTCACTTGTGATCAGAAAAATAGTCACAAAGTTTCGTATAAATTGTGGAAACCAACTCTTCTGCCATCTCACCTTTATTGTCGACTTTCCCAGCGAAGAATTTATCGTTCTGGTGATCCACTGACAGAACCTAAAACAACGGCTAGAATTCCGGTGGAAATTATAATTTTTGGCGAAAAAATTCGGGGAATTATCGACAGCGGTAGCGAAAGATCGTTTTTAAGCAATTCTGCTTATCAGAGAGTTAAACATTTTCAAGTCGACGATTTAAAGAACGACTCTTCTTCAAGCAAGGGTGTACGATTAGGCGATAAATCGGTTGTAAAATCTAAAGGTGGTACAGGATTTGTTATTGATATAGGCGACGTTTATGGTCCACAATGGTTTAGCGTGTTGGACGAATTATCCAGTGACCTGATTTTGGGCATGGATTTTTGGCTCAATTTTAAAGTCAAAGTGGATCCAATAACACGAACTTGGACTTTAGACGGGAGCAAACATCATTATCCATTAATAGAACGCTGTAATGAGATGAATGCGTTACGTGCTCTTACAATCGATGAATCGGGAAAATTAAAGGATTTTTTAGATCAGGAATTTGCGAAATTCGAGTTAGAGTCGACGGGTTTAACAGATTTAGTAGAACATGTTATTGAATTGGACGATGAGACACCTCATCGTCAAAAACCTTATCGAAGGAGCGAAATAGTACGCAAATTCCTTGAAGAGGAAGTAGATCGGTTATTGAAAATGCGTTTTATAAGACGAAGTAATAGCGATTGGGCGTTTTCCCCTGTGGTTGCCCCAAAGGCAAATGGAGGCTTGAGATTTTGTGTAAATTATCAACCACTTAACAAAAAAACGAAAAAACCAGCCTATCCCTTACATAATATGCGATCTATTCTGTCTCAATTACAGTGCGCAAAATTTATTTCAACTCTCGATTTTAGCGAAGCCTTTCATCAAATTCCGATGGAAGAGAATAGCTGTAAGTTGACAGCTTTTGCGGTCGAGGGGAAGGGATTATTCGAGTATGTGAGAATGCCTTATGGTCTTACGGGAGCCCCTGCGACGTTTCAACGTTTAATGGATACATTGAAGCGTCGCATGCAAGAATTAATTCTTGAAAGAGGTTTACCAGGAGGTTGGATAGACCAGATTTTCACATATCTCGATGACTGGATTATTGTAAGTCAAACTTTTGATGAACACTTACAATTATTGTCTTTGGCTTTCGAGGTTTTCCGTGAAGCGAAGTTATTAATAAATCGCGCGAAAAGTAACTTTGCTTGTAAGGAAGTAAAATTCCTGGGATATATAGTCGATGAATTGGGAATGAGGCCAAATCCGGAAAAGATTCAGCCAATTGTCGACTTTCCCGTTCCGAAAGACCGAACACAATTGCGTCAGTTTAATGGCCTAGTGAACTGGTATCATAGACACTTAAAAAATATAGCAAGAATTCAGGGACCCTTGAATAAGTTGACGAGCGTTAAAGTTCCTTGGAAATGGACTGAAGTCGAGCAAAAGTCTTTCGAGAGTGTAAAGAAAGCTCTGGTCGAAGCTCCTCGCTTGCATGTGCCGATACCAGGTCAGCCTTTTGTTTTGTACACTGATGCAAGTGATTTTGGCTTAGGCGCCATTTTGGTACAAATTGATCCTAAAACTGGTAATGAAATTCTTATCGAAGTTTTAAGTCGACCATTGAGGGGTGCAGAATTGCACTACACGACTACCGAGAAAGAGTGTTTGGCGGTCGTGTGGTCGGTTGAAAAGCTTAGATGCTATTTGGAAGGTATGCCTTTCAAGGTGGTAACAGACCACCAAGCTCTTCAGTGGTTACATGGATTGAAAAATCCTGTTGGTCGTCTTGCCAGATGGGCAATTTATTTGTATCAACACAATATGACAGTAGAGCATCGTCGAGGTACCTTGAATGAGGCACCCGATGCACTTTCTCGTATGTTCAATGTCGATGTCGACCCCCTCGGGTGGGAGAAGGTGATCGAAGAAGCGGTCCAAGGTCGAATTCGATTGAACACGATTTGCGATCGGGATTGGTACGTAACAAAATTTGATTTAGTTAAAAAACATCCCGAAAGGTTCGTTAATTGGAAAATAGAAAGCGACGAATTATTTTACTATAGACCGGATTTCGAAAAAGCGCTCATTGACGATGAGAATCCGTGGAAAAAGGTAGTTAAACCGGACGACGTTGCAGGAGTTTTGCATGATAATCACGATTTACCGCAAGCCGGACATCTCGGAAGAGATAAAACGCTTGATAGGATTCGACAGAATTTTTATTGGCCAGGTATGATCTTGGACGTCAGAAATTATGTCGACGAATGCGAAGTGTGTGTTAAGGTCAAATATAATCAAAATCCGGTAAAGGGAAAATTAATGACGCGTACGCTACATTCACCTTGGTCTCAGCTGTCTGTTGACACGGTTGTTACTCAAACACGGACGAAGAAGGGAAATACATGTGTCCTAGTAGTGTTGGATTTATATACAAAATATTTAGAGTTATTTCCAATACGGGCAAAAAAGGGTAAGGCAATTGTAAAGATTCTTGACGCGTTATTTGATCGATGGGGAACTCCGAAAATGGTCCTTACAGACAACGGAAAGGAGTTCGTCAACGGGGAAGTAGCATCATACCTGATAGCAAGGGGAGTCAAACAAATAACAACGCCGATAAAACACCCCCAAGCTAATCCGGTCGAACGGTTTAATCGGACTGTTAAACCAATGATTGCCGCGTTCCTTAAGCATGTTCATAAAGAGTGGGACGAGAATATAACGAAACTACAATTGGCCTATAATACTGTGCCACATTCGGGAACAAGAATTTCCCCCTTTTTCTTAAATCATGGGCGGGAAGCTGTTGTCAGGAGGGAGTTAGATGATTCCGAGATTGATTTGGGTGAGTCCCTGAGTGACTCTATTTCATTTTGGGTAGGTCGTATGAAAACCATTGACGAATTTCGACACAAAATTGAAAGTCGACTGAAAAAATATTCTGATGGGCGTCTTGCCACTGCAAATGCAGGTAGGTCAACTTTAGTCGAAATTAAAGAAGGAATGGAGGTTTACTACCCAAATAAGAAGCTAAGTAATAAAGCCGAGAGTTACTCAGCGAAATTAGCCTATAAATATTTGGGACCGGTTAAAATCAGTAGAATTCTTGGTTCGTCGACGGTGGAATTGAAAGATGGATCTGGAAAAATGATAGGAAAATATTGTATTTCTGATTTAAAGATTCCCCGGAGAAGTTGTCGAAATTTAAATGTTTTTTCAGATTGAACTGTCGACATCATGAGTAGCGAGCAGAGTTCGTCCGACAGCCTACCAGCGACCGACAGGGAAGCTGCTCGACTCCAGATGGAGAAATTAAGAACGGCACAAGAGCGAATTACTAATATGATGGTGGCTCTTCAATCGCAATTCGGCGATGATATTGATAACGATGAAACAACGTCGACGAATGCTGTGGAGGTTCCTGAGCCCTCTACTAATGTCTCTGATGATCCGGATGCTGTGGCTTTGGAGTCGACTGAAAATATGGGTGAACCACTTTTTAGTCATATTGAACAATCTTCGGCGGCTGCAGACAGTCAAAATAATCGATCAGTGTCGACGATAACCTCCGTGAAAATAGGTTCTGAGAAAGCTTTGGAAACCATTCGGAGAATCAGCGAGATGGAACCACCTACGCTTGAGAAGAATCCAGTGCGAATATTAACCGAGGCCGACATTCGTCGAGAAAATCTTAAACGGCAGCGTATAAAAAATTACGATCACGCAAAGGAGATTGACCTGTCGACTAATGAGCTCTTGACGATGGCCGTGTACGAGACAACAGAAGTGGCTCCATCGGTTCGTGTGGATCCTTTGCCGTTAACCGAGATTCCGAACTTCACTCAAGTGCTGGAAGAAATGGGAATACCGGATTTGGTAAATCCACCTGGGGAACAACAACCCCTATACATGGTCGACTGCAGAATAATCAGCCTTCAATTACTTAAAAAGCTGATTATAAAGCGAGCAGAACACATCGCGATGGTGGCAGACGCCAAGAAAGTCGACGTTGGAACCCAGACTTATGTTACAACTGCGGGTAAACAACTCTGGCCCTACGGTTGCATTAACTGCAAATCAAGGGAACATCATTTCCGCGAGTGTAACCTTCCATACAGACCGGGATTCTGTACTGAATGCGGTGCTGAGGGATTCGACACCAAGGATTGCATTTACCCCCATGGCATCGAACATGAACGTGTGCTTGGACGGTGTATTGGTTGTTCAGGGGATGAATTTTTGTACTCTCCAGAATGCCCCGATTGCAATATCCGCCATGCAGGGATTGTCGACTGGTTGCGCCTTAATTACGCAACCTGGCCTTCTTGGATGGTACCACGCGATCATCAATTCCTTATTGGAGGTGAAGCCGAAAGGTTGAAAAGGAAGGTTAAGGCGAAGTTTGATAATCCTCGAGATGAGCCAAACAAGGTTCGCAAATTCCTTTTAAGAGAAAACGTCTTCCGTCAGGTAAAGGAGTTCAAAAATTTGGAGTCGAAAACAGCCTACCAAATGTCGGAGGAAAAGCGCCAACGCGCAATCGAGGCTTTGTTGGCCTCAATATCGACCGATTCCATCGAGGAGGTGATGAGGAAGCGACCAGAACTCTCTGACGGACAGGAGTTGAAAATCATCGTTCCGACGAAGTTCAAGAATTCTTCGGAATAATAATGTCGACGTTTTCTTAATCCAAAGATTTTTTTTATATATAATTTTGATATTTTGTTACTTTATATTCTTTTGATTATTTTTATAAGATTTGAAAATTTGTAATCTGAGACGACAATACGATGAAAATCTGTATATGTTAAATGAAAAGTCGAATAAATGGAAATTGAGATTGAATTTTCGCAGCACATTGAGTGTCTATGAGGGATGTATCACAGGTGGTCTACTTTGGATGTTATTTTGTGTTTTGTTTATTTAACTATTTTTTTCAGAGGTTCTAGTGTATTTTGAAATTTAAAGTTCTTTTACAGATAAAATTTTTTTTCACATATCGACACGTCTGAAAGGGGAGAGTGTAACAGGAAGTATTTTCGTGTCTCCTTATTCATAAAATTTTACAAGTGTCGACAAACTTTATTATCATTTATAAATAATTTATTGAACCCCTAATTAATTATCGATGTACGATCCTGGCGTTGTCATGGTAACGACGCATGCGACACCGGCGTGAAGGCGACAAGATACATCATGATCACTTTTGGATCGAACGTCGATGCGAGTACATATTTCAATTTTCTAACTTATTGTCGATTATTCTGAGAGAATATTATAAAGTGAGTGAGATTCGTATCAATTGGCCAATCCGGTTGTTTGGAGAGTGAATCTCTACAAAATATGTAAGTAGGCCTTTTGTGAAATATATATCTTTCAATCGACACTCTGATATTGAATTTTGGGTTCACCCATTTTACCCCCCCCTTTTTTGTTCTTTTTGTATAATAATTAAATGTCTCATGTTAATCGTAATTAATTAATTGTCGACATTTAGTCGACTGGCGCCGGGCAACCCTGATAACATTTTAAACTATCTTAAAACTTTATTAAACTTGAACCCACACAGCTTTGAACCCAGCCGCGTGTGGTGAAGGAATATTTAAAATTCTTAGTAGTAAAGTAAAAATAATTCCTGTTTCAAAATAATTTCTCAAAATATTCGACTCTATATCAAATTAATTTCTCAAAATGTCGAATTTTACAGATTGGCTCTACATTAAAGTAATTTATCAAACTTTAGAAACTTTGTAAATTGACTCTACATAAAAATTAACTGACTCTACAACAATACAATTTATTAAATTCGTGAATTTTACAAGCCGACTCTACATGAAAATAATTTCGAATTTTTACAAACCAATTCTACATTAAAATAATTTTTTAGAATATCGAGTTTGACAGACAGAGTCAAGACATTTGACTCTACATTAAAGTTAATTTCGAAAAATTGTTAAACTTTCACAGACCGACTTTAGGTTAAGGTAAATTCTCAATTTTTACTTACTAACTCTACATCGGAATAATTTTTCAAAATATCGAAATTTACAGAGCACGGAAACATGTTCAATTCTACATCAAAGTAATTTCTGAAACCGACTCTACATTGAAGTAATTTTTCAAAATTTAAAATTTTCCAGACCGTCTCTACACATCCCAACACTAAATCAAAGTAGTATCTCAAAATGTTTGGCTCTACATTAAATTAATTTCTCAAAATGTCGAATTTTACAGATTGGCTCTACATTAAAGTAATTTAACGAACTTTAGAACCTTTGAAAATTGATTCTACATCAATGTAATTTCTTGAATTCGTGAATTTTACAAGCCGACTCTACATTAAAGTTATTTATGTAAAATATCGACTTTACAAACCGTGTTATTTCTACATCAAAATAATTCCTCAAAATGTAAAATTTTTACAGACCGACTCTACATCAAAATAATTTTTCAAACTGTTGACTCATTTGACACTCTACATGGAAGTAAATAAAAAAAAATAGAAGAAAAATTTTACAAATTGTCAAATTTTACAAACCGAGTGATTACATCCGTCTCCAAACCAAAGTAATTTTTTGTAAAATCAAATTTTAAGGACCAAATTAAGACGTTTAACTCTACATCAAAGTTATTTACCAAATTTTAGAACCATTACAAATTGACACTACATCAGCATAAATTGACTCTACATTGAGGTAATTTCTCAAATTCTTTACCAAACGACTCTACCTTAAAGTAATTTCTAAAAATGGTGAAATGACTCTACATCAAGGTAATTTTTAAAATTCCTAAAATTTCTACAGAACGACTCTACATTAAAATAATTTTTCAGAATATCGAGTTTGTCTCTACATTAAAGTAATTTCAGGAAGTGTTAAACCTTCACATACCGAGTCTACATCGAGGTAATTTCTCAATTTTTACTTACTAACTCTACATCCTAATAATTTTTTCAAAATGTCAAATTTTACAAAGTCAACATATTAAATTCTACATCAAAGTATAATTTTTGAAAGTGTAGTATCGCCGCACTTACCGACTCTACATGATAATTTTTTAAATTCTCGAATTTTACAGACCGACTCTACATTAATGTTATTTTTTAAAATGTCAAATTAAAATTTTGAAATATTACTTAGATGTAGAATAGGTCCGTCATGGTTTCTCAATTTAAGAAATCACTTTTATGTAGATTTCTTATGTAAAATTCGTCAATTTGAGAAATTACTTTAATGTAGAGTTGTTCTGTAAAATTTAAGAATTTTACAAATTACTTTGATGTAGAGCAGTTCAGTAAAGATAAGACATTTTAAGAAATTACTTTGATGTAGAGTCTAACATTTTGACTCCGTCTGTTAAATTCGATATTATGATAAATTATTTTCATGTAGAGTTGGTCTGAAAAATTGTGCTATTTTTGGGAAATTACTTAGATGTAGAGTCAAATGTTTTTATTCGTATTGTAAAATTTAATTTTATGGAAAATTACTTTAATGTAGAGTTAAATTTATATATAAAGCAGCGCCATTTTGAGAAATCACTTTAATGTAGAGTTGGTCTGAAAAATTCAAAATTTTGAGATATTACTCTGATGTAGAGTAGGCCAGTAGAATTCAACATTTTTTAAAAAGTACTTCGATGAAGAGAAATTACTTTAATGTAGAGTCATCCTGTAAAATTCGACATTAGAAATTACTTTCATTGTAGAGTAGGTCCTAAAATTCAAATTTTTTGACAAATTATTTTTATTTAAAGTCGGTCCATGTTGAGTAAATCTGTTAAATTTAATTATTTAAAAAAAAAGAGAACTCTACCTTGAAGTAGAGTCGGTCTGTGAAGGTTTGACAATTTGAAAAAAATTACTTTTATGTAGAGTTGGTTCATGTAAAAGTTGGTCAATAAAACTAAAAATTTTGAAAAATTACTTTAATGTAGAGATTCATTCTATTGAATGCAATCCGTTTGATTAAACTATGTATTAGACAATTTCCAAGGGGGTGAATTTTTTCTTTACAACATATATATATATAGAAGACAGGATTGTAGCTAAGACGATAGGGGAATAGTAAACCGCTTTTCCTGAACCAATAGAACGAAATCTCCTCGAGTAACCACAAGTTCGACCACGCCAATAGCCCATATATATTCTCCAGCTTACATATAAGCAAACACAGTCCCACAGGTTATGTAAGCAAGCAAAAACAACGGTAAGTTGAGTTTCGCGTGAGGTGTAAAATATGTGAGTTTATATATATAAAAGTGTGTGTGTGTGTGTGTGTGTGTGTGACAATTGTGGCAATTTTAATAAAACGAAAAGGGACGCAGCTGAACGTTCGACTTCAAGTCTCCGTTTTCAATCCTCCTATCTGTAAATATAGATAACGGAATTGCCTTGTGAAATCTCGACTATCTCTTTATGACTTCTTCTTCTTTTTTTTTTTTTAAATGACAAAATATATAAACCTGTTAAAATCACATACTTAAGATTATATCAAAAACGGTGAAAAAAAAAAAATCACAATTTAAATAAGTTAGGGATCGAAGTGCAAATGAAAATCCGGTTCAACTTGTTTCATCTCTCTGTCGATAAGATAAATTTCTAAAAAATTTTGGCGAATATTTTTTTTTTTTTTTGTTATGAATTATTAAAAAGGGCATTTAGGATGTTTCTATTTTTTTCGCTTCTTATAAGAAAAATGAAATAGATTATATATTATTTTGGATAAATTATTTTAATGTAGAGTCCTGATGTAGAGTCAATCTATAAAAGTTTTAAAATTCATTATTACCATTCTCTTTTTTCTTTAATCTTTAATTTCCCTTCGTTTTGGTAGACACGAAAAAAAAACATAGAATTTTTTACTCCAAAATCGGTAACAAAATTTTATTCTAGGGTAAATGTCCCAATTACTGTGATGTACAATAATGATTTAATTTTTTTTCTTAAATCACTATTAAAATAGAAACGATACTTTAAACTTGAAGAAATAACAAATATAATTATTATTAAAAATATTAACTTTTTTAAAAGTGGCATATGCTGGTATTACTGCAAGTTTGCATGAATTACTGCGAATGGTGTGCACCATAATTACTGCAACGCTAAAAGTGTTGATTTAGAGGTTAGGTTGACTGGATAGACCTCAGTAATAGCAGAATGCGAAAAATATACGCATGCTCTAATTACTGTGATAGATTTAGGTTGTAACTTGAATAAATAATTTGATAATAATCGAAATATGCATCATTAGTGGATATAATATCAAATATCATTTGGAATAAGTTTTAAAGTCATTTTGAAACAGTTTTATGTTCTCAAAATTACTAAGTTTTACTAATTTTTATAAAAATCGTTATAATTGGGGCATCAGCAGTAATTCATACACTTACCCTAGTTGAGGGCGCCATCGTCAAAAATTTTTTAAAAATATTTTTTTGTCATCTTCATCAGCCGCGTAATATAAAACGAGATAATTCAAAACAAGTATGAAATGAAGTTCGTTATTTAAGTCTCTCTCATCCAAGAGAGAGCAAGAGTAAGAGAGAAAAAAATCCAAGAGAGCAAGAGAGAGAGAGAAAGAGTGTGGCGACGTGAGAAAAACGAAAGCCTTGAAATTCAATTTAAACTGGCGAGAAAAACTTTCTTTTGCCCGGACCGGATAACGAAAAGTTTTCTGCACGCTTTTTCACGCTTACGGAAATTACTTTGGCTGAAATTCACGCCAACTCTTACCGCGCGTGAAGAATTATCATAGGGCCAGTAAACAAAAAAAAAATAATAATAATTCCATCTCGGTATTCATTGCGCAAGGAGTTTATATATTTGTTTATTAGTTTAATGAAGAGCTGCGGAAAAGTAATCCCCCTAGGGGCGTTGGACAATTTTGAAAAGCTTTTAGACTTTTGCAGTCGCTATGCGTGAGAGAGAGAGAAAGAGAGAGAGAGAAAATTCACCGCCTCTAATAATAAGAACCTGCATTTCAAATTATTATTATTATTAGCAATTTCTATTTTATAAAGATGAGAAAAAAATTTCAATCTTTCAAATTAATCCTGATGAAAAATTTTTAATTTTCTTTCTTTTTAGAATGACGAAAAAATTTTTTTTATTCCCCCGCGTAAAATATTTCTGTACCTCTAAGACAACTAGGAATTAACAAAAAAAAAAAAAAAAAAAAATCTATCTGGAACAGCGATATGTTTCTCTAGAATAGTGAAAACTTTAACTGTTTTAGTGAAATATATCGCTGTTCCAGTGAAACTTATGGTTGTTCCAGGTAAAGATTTTTTTCCATGTAATAAATAAATAAATAAATATATATATATATAAAATATATTGTATAAAAACGCTTCACGAGAGAAGGGACCTTACGACAAAAAAAAA